TAGTGATTACAATTGTTAAAAGCACAAGGCTTTGAAGAATGCAAATCATGTATTTTTTTTTTTTTTTTTTTTTTTTTTGGCCAACGTACCTGAAAATCAGCTGTGAATTGTAACATATAAAACTCAATAAAAAAAATATATTATTTAGTTTCAAATGCTTTTATTTGTTTTAATTTGTTTTTATGAATATGGACAATATTTTCTGGAAGCAAAAGATTTTTTCAATGAAAATTGAATTTTTAATACAATTATTTCTTATTTCTTTCATTTTAAAACGATTTTAAAAAAATGTTTAAATTGAATTTTAAAAAATATTTTAACATTAGTTAAATGCAACGTCAACCTTTCAAAATGTCCGTGTGAGATTGTCATTGTCTAGCGCTTTGAAAATTGTATAATTTGGACCAATCAGATTAGCCATGGTAATTAAGAAATGTAATTTTTGTGTTTATAGTCGGACAGTAATTATCAAGTACGGAAGACCAACCAGAATACAATTTAGTTGCATTATTTGAGTTCAGCATTGTTCTCCGCTCTTAAGCCCTTTACTTTTGCGAAACACGTATGGAGAAGTTAATTTGAGTTTTCATCTTATGAAATTTAACTACTGCTAAACTTTAATTTATATGATCTTATTTTTATATTAATCTCAGTTATGACATTTTTCCATAAATGAAATATCAAAATTAATAATAAAATGAATGGAAATACAAATAATAGTAAAATGTAATAAATGTACATAAAATTATAGTATTTTATGTACACTTCTGATAAAATTTCATAAGAAAGGTACCTAAATTAATTAGATACCTTTTTCTTATGAAATTTAATCTCACTATTAAAAGTTTTATCTTTTAATTTCTTTATATTTTCCATAAAGCATCGTAAACGTAAAAATGAAAGCTAAGTACAAAAAAAAAAAAAAATAAAAAATAAAAAATTAGAGCGCTGAAAGTTTTCCTTAAAAGTAACGAGGTAAATAATTTGTTCACTTAAATAATTTCACTTCCTTCCATCCGTAGAAAGAATTACCCTCCCGTAAGTTATCTAAACGTCATGAATGTGCCTTTCGTCAATCGTCAAGCGATGCGAAAGGTTATGATCTGCTTTGTTTTATTTTTAAATTACATTTTTTCGGCGCAGAAGCTAAGTTGAGCTTGGTTCAAAATATTTTAAATAAACAGTATAATATCTGTTTTTATTAAAATCAGTTTTGAAAAATGATAATTGATTTTTAAAAGAATATCAAAGTCAGATTTTAATCTTTTTATCAAATCGAAAAAATGATTGAAAATGATTATCTGTCCTTTTTTTGATAAAAAAAACAATATTTTTAACAAAAATTTCAGACGTGCTAGGAACGATTAAAAATGAAAAAAATACCCCCAAAATACTTTGATCTTTCCTCTTTAATAATAATATGAACATTAGACGATAAAATTTTGTTTTCGTCAAGTTCGGCGTCTTTTTCATCATGCTATGCTCTTTTGTTTACATTTTCGTGGGTGAGTTGTCCCCCTTTCATTCTCACGATGTGTCTTAATCGTGTTTTCAAATTGATTTTCTTAAAAAACAACTGTGTTTTTCCCATTTTCGGCGCCGTTAGAACCACCAAAAGGTAATTTTATGTAGTACTGTGAAGTTTTGTTGAAATCGGCTAAAAAATGTAGGAAATTCGATCCAACATATAAACGTTACAGACACACACACACAACCTGCGTTTTATAATAAGTAAGATGAACATGGACACAATATCTTGACCGTGTTTTAAAAATGAAAACATTATATAAATACATGCAAACAACAATCTATTTCTTGTTAACAGTTAATATATTTCAACCTTGAAAATGGCTAAATGTATAACCGAAAGCGCGCGGAAAAAAGAACAATTGGACAGTTTTATATAATTTATCTACCGAAAAGAAAAAAAAATTATTAGATTACATGAGAAATTGTATAAAACAAATAAAAGCACCTTGTCTGTCATATTCAATGAAACGTGCATGAAAGAAGGACTGCTGCCTAAATACACAAATTATATATATATTATATGTATATAATGTATTATATATATATATATATATATATATATATATATATAGAGAGAGAGAGAGAGAGCGAGTGAGAGAGAGAGAGAGAGAGAGAGAATGATAGATAAACATCTCCGAGAAAGGGGCCTCTCCATACCTGACTACGACTTTTTCTGTATTTAGTTGCATATATAGGCCCTGCATGTCTACACCAAAGACGGACCATGGCGAGAATATTTTCCAGAAGTTTGTCCACGCCCTTGACCCCCAGTTTCTATCTTGACTGAATGAATTAACTTCCGGATCATTGGTAAATTGCTGGTGATTCTAATCCGGCTCAGTTTGATGCATGAAAATATGTTTGAGCGGAGTTTCCATGTTTTAAAGTTTGTTTCAAAACGACCATTTCTTTTGTTCCAACTTGATACCAACTGTGTTACTTTTGAAAATCATTATTCAAAATTCTGGCTTTTGCCACAACTCGAATATCAAGCACAGAGTTTGACAGGGTACAATCAGATGATTCGCTCCAGAAATTAACTACCACTCACTTCCACCTTCAAAGAGATCCAGGAAAATAAATGCACAAAGAAACAATTGCGATCGTCTGAGCATTTCCAGCGTCGGATATGTGTATCCCAGGCACGTGTTATCAGTTATTACCGTCTATACTCGAGTATAGTGCGAGCTTTGATGATTAGTTTTTTTGCGCAAAAAATAGTGGGTCGCACTATACACAAGCAATTTTTTCGGGCTGGGGGAGATTCATGCAAAAATATCCAGGGGTCGCACTATCTGAGAGGCCCCTTTCTGCTTCACATCTGCATAGCTGATGCTAATCTCCAGGAGAATGGCTCCCTGTTCTTTCTCTGGCTAACATTCTCAACTAACATGAAGTGAAAAGATTATATTGAATTCTTGTTGCTGCTAAGAAATTTGGCTCGTAGTGTCGTGCTAGATTCTCTCCAGAATCTATCTTACATATTTATAAGTCTGCCATTCGCCTCTGCTTAGAATATTACTGTCACATATGGTCCGGTGCTCCTACTGTATATTTAGAAATTCTTTATAAAATCCAAAAAATCAACAATATTCTTGGTCCTGACTTGGCTTCTCAGCTTCAGTCACTTTCCCATCGCCATAATGTAGCTTCCCTGCGACTTTCTTTTTTTTAATCAAAACTTTCATGGTAATTGATGAACGTTCCGCTAGTAACTAGTTAAGACTTTATAGAGACTTGAGGTATTATGGTGGCTGTAGTAAGAATGGTAAGTAAGAATCTGTCGTTTTGGTGTAAGGAATAGTGCGGTATATTTGGATCAGTAATTGTGGCTAGCTAAGTTTAATTATAAGACAAATTGAAGACGATCCTTCCCCTATCCCCCCTTTTGGCCTTGTGCTATATTTTTGTATTTTCAAAATTAATATTACTTTCCTGTAGACTTTATGAATTTCAGTGCATTACGAGATTTGATGTCAAGGTTTCCTCAATTCACAGTTGAATTGGCTACGGGTAAATATAAGTTTTATGCTAACATTTTCTTTTCTCGCTTGAGGAACTCTCTTCCGGCCCCATTCTTTCCGGCCAAATTCAATTTTGAATTTTATATAAAAATAAATTTAAATTTCTTCAGCGTAGGCAGAATTCCCTCCTCTTTTACGTCCGTTGTCAAATGTGGCATGTAGCAGCGTACCATGTCATGTGAATCTAGACATTATGAGATTGAAAGGCAAAAAAAGATTATGCCTCGGATGAAATTAATAACCATTTACTAAGTTATATACTGAATTAACAAACTGAATAGACGACAAACATTTTTCTCGTGTTTCTTTTTTAATTGCTTTATTTTAACGGAGGGAACGTAGTAGGCATCGTTTCTTGGAGGAATCGAAATGGAGAGGAACGGGTTTCAACAAGTTGGGAAGCTACCCATCTTCTCTCTGCCGTAACCACAGCACCCTATGGAATCTGCAAGAGGAAGGTTCTGACAAACACTAGAGCTCCCGACTTTTCTATTACCACAAACGTACTCTTCGTTGTTGCAAGCTTTTTGATCTTTTATCATAAGACCAGTTATTCTCAAGAGTCATTCCGTGGCACACTACTGTGTTACGCGATTCTCTTAAGAGTGCCGCGAAATATTGTCACGGCATACATATATATGTATAAATACCAGACACAGGTTCTACACTAAAGAAGCTGCACAGATAGTTAAATAGGAACATAGAAATAAAATAAGTTCATATTCGTGTGTGCATTTGTTAAAAATTATATGATTTTATTTCATAACATTTAAATGTATACCCTTTAAAGATTTAAAATGTATCATGATATTTTCATTTGCTCCTAGGTGTGCCGTTGCTTAAAAAAGTTTGAGAAACACTGGCTTAGACAACCCAACACTGTCAAGATTCCACGCCCACTCTTTTTGGGTCGTCAGAGTTCTGACTAGAGGGGTCTAGAATTACATTCACTACACTTATCATTTTGCCATTTTCTTTAAACTGCGCATTCTGTATCATCTGATGGATGAGAAATTTCACGTCGAGATAAAAAGTAATTTTGTAAGGAAAAACGAAATAAGAAGAAAAAAGAACGAAAAAATATGCACGATTAATAACAATAATAATAATAATAATAATAATAATAATAATAATAACAATCGGGGTAAGCAGAGTGTTAATCCTTCCTTTATGACGAGGTACCCAAAGTAGGTAAGTTTTATAAGTGGCACTTTTCTTGAAGATACAGCGTTTTTATTACACCGACTTAAAGCGTACATCTCCTACTTCATTCTGTCAATTCCTTTAAATACGTGAGTTTTTTTTTCTGTGATATCATGCATAAACTTAACGTTGCGCCTGGGGCTAAGGCATGTCTAGAAGGAAATATCAAATGGCGCCGTGGGTACGACGATCTGATAAAAGTTAGCCGTCTCTCTTTGCAATGACACGCTCTCTCCTCAGTCTATGCATATCCATTTAAATGTGTCTTCTGTGCGTCTTGTTGTGGTTCTATTTTTCCAATGTCAGTATCTGCATCTATGTATATGCGCCTGGGTCAAGTTACTTTTTGTTCTATTTGGAGTGCTGACAAAAACTTGCGCCCTTCCTTTCAACGTCGGATTCTTTTGATTATTTATGTATATGTAGTTATTTACTAAACTCAGGATAGTCTGGCATAAGGCCACGTCAGTGGAGCGCCAAAAGAAAAATGATCTTCGACTCATAATTGTACGCCAATCATTCAATTATCTATCTATCTATATATCTATCTATCTATCTATGTATGTTTGTTCATTTTCTATTTCAATTCATTCATTTCTATCTATCCATCCATCTATTTTTCTATCCATCTATCTATCTGATTATTTTCTATCTATCTATCTCGGGCTGTTAATATCTATTTCAGTTTGTTCATATCTATCTATCTATCTATCTATTTATCTATCTATCTATCTATCTATCTATCTCAGTCTGTTCATTTTCTTTCTGTTTATCTTAGTTTGTTCATATCTATAGATCTACCTATCTGTCTGTCTATCTTCTCTTTACTAAGTTTTGCACACACGCACACACTTTATATATATATATATATATATATATATATATATATATATATATATATATATATATATGACTTAAAGAATGCAGCTTGATTAAAAGAGAATGTAATTTAATGTGGCGAAAATGCAGGAAGCTGCAATAATTCCGGAGTAATATATATTCCCTCAGTAAATTTATGTCCCGAATCATATAGCATGTTCCCATTTCTTCTGGCCCCAACTATGGGTTGAATAGTAGAACAAACTGTTTGGCAACCAGCCTATCGCAGAAACCAAAGCCAGCCTACTGCGGGAAACATTCTACTTCATGATCGCCCAATCGTGTATCACATATGGCATTCGAGTTACTGCTATTAATGTGGGATATTTGAAGATCATACCGATAAAAACAAAAACGGAATGAAATGGATGCTGAATGAAGTCAGCTAGAAAGTTTGGAGTCAAAAAATTTTAAATTAAAGTTAAGAGTCCCTCTATTTTTAGCGTGTCTCTTGATTTATAATTTTATACAGTGTGCGGCAGAAATACCTCCCGAATATAACTCCCATTTTTAAGTCCCACATAATAATAAGACATTAGATTGATGACGGCACCATTGCCACTAATGTCTTACCGCCTGATGATTGCGTGAAATCGCGTGAAACCGTCAGACATTTACGTCGTAATGAATTATACATAGAGAGTGCCTTAATCGCAAGGTCAGAGTAAATTTGCGCCCTGCTCCATACAACATTTCACCATTCCTGGCAGATCTTTTAATCAAACACTGTGAAATGATTACTTACAAAAATGATGGAAAGATAAAGAAAAAGAGTTTAAATGAATTCAGCTAGATAAAAAAAAAAAATCTAAAATTCTCAACACCCCTCTATCGAGCGAATATATAACCGTACAAACACAATAAATTTAGTCCGATAAAGTCCAGAAGAACAAAACGCATCACTGTTCTTGATATAAAAATATATATCGTTATCTCATATATATATATACTAGCCGAATTACCCGTGCCTTGCTGCGTATCACACATTTTTGTAAGAAAATGATGATTGATTTTAAATCATTGTTATAATTTGTTTGCCGCAAACATTGTAAGGCACTACCCGCTGATTGGCGATTTCTTGCTCAACTTGACGTCCATATTGTCTCATTTTGAGCTTGCCAATGTAAGCTCCATCTTCTGGCTTTCTTCTTCTATATTTTGGATAGGGGTCATTTTATTGTTCAAATTTAAATTTAATTTAAATCAAAGCGAAAAATTTTTCAGTGGGGGTTGTGGGCCCGTCGGAGACCCCCTTTGATCAAAATGATCTTGCTGATGTGAACTCCATCTTCTGGCTTTCTCCTTCCATACTTCGGATAGGAGTTATTCCTTTATTCAAAGTTAATTTAAATGAAAGGAAAAAAAATTCCTTAGGAGGTTTGTGCCACCCGGGAGTCCCTTTGATCAAATTTAAATGTACTTACCCAAGTAACCTAGGAGTCATTCCTTTGTTCAAATTTAAATTTAAATTTAATTTATATCAAAGGGAAAAAAAATCAGTAGGGGGTTTGTGCCGACCGGGGACATCCTTTGATCAAAATGGAATATACTTATACCCTGGTTAATGTAGTTTCAGAATATATATGGTTATGGGGGTCTATCTCCAAAACCCTAGGAGAAGTTCGATAACAAACAGACAGACAGAGGCTACAATTTTATATATATAGGTTAGTATGTGTGTGTGTGTGTACGAGACAAAATGTTTTAACGTATCTGACCCATTTCGCACTCTTTCTCTCTCTCTTTCGTTCTCTCTCTCTCTCTCTTTCGTTCTCTCTCTCTCTCTCTCTCTCTCTCTCTTTCTTTCGTTCTCTCTCTCTCCTTTTACACTTTTTTCTCTTTTGTGAGTTGTTTATATCAGATTCTTTGCTAATATGTAAATTTCTCGCTTCCAATCTTTGGCTGATTCGTTTTTTACGGCTTATCAACCTTTTGAAGGTTATTTAAAACCAGAAAATATTTTTTAGATTGTAAGAATTTGATGGAGGGGATAAATATGGTTTAGTCATACAAGTCTTATTAATTAATCCACAGCTGCGAGCAGAATAAGTGGATTTATAGCCTTTCCCAAGGGTATTTGAGCATAAGTGAATATAACGAACTCAATGGGAATTGAAACTGCATATCAAAGATTACAGCACCTGGTATTCCCACTAAGGAATCTAATACTTTTGAATATTTACCATAGCAATAGCGATAGTGTAGGAAGAGGCTTGCAACGTTTCGTTTGTGGGAGACTGGTTGTAGGGTGGAAAATAATTCATCGCCCACAAGGCCACGCGATCGCTGTCATGCTGTCAAAATATTTTACTAGATTCAGAAAAAATCACATTTTAAAAAGTAGGTTTTAATAACACAGCACCTTTTACAGTTCAAACAATAGATAAAGTAATGATATTAAAATAATAAGTTGAGTCAAAATTATTTTTCCGTTTTGGAGAAAGCGATTATAATGACGAATGTATCATCTTAACCACCTATCACAATAAGAATAAATTTCAAACGTACCTTAGTATTTATACAGCAATGGCAGCATATACAGTAGATTAAATATAAATTTTCTTGGACATACTCTGACGTGATACTACGATTCACATTTTAAAGAAGAAGAAGAAGGACTAATCTCACAGTTAAAAACATTGTTTTCGCCTTTCTTTCTTTCTTTCTTTCTTTCTTTCTTTCTTCCCTTCCCCTTTATTCTAATTGATACATACAGGCGAATGGTGAATAGATTTATTTCACTATTGCATAACGACAGCGGTGGATGGACGCTTGATCTCTGATTTCATGTATGTCGACCGTGGCAGATCATGTGACTCCGAAGAAACGCCGAAGCGTCAAAATTAAAGAATCGCCAGTTGATAAAAAGCGGCCGAAGGAATCGGACCGTCAGCTACTGCGCTTTATCTTACGAAAGGAGCAGTAAAGGCAGTAACCAAGGAAAATTGTGGATTTAACCAGTTTTACTTTATGAATTACGAATATCGAACAACAACTTCAATGACTGTATGTATTTTGCTTAACAGATAATGAACATTGAAATTATCCATGAATTCGGACATTCTGTTGCTACGAACTTATCAATCAAATCAAGTCTTTTTATATGAACATATTGATGTATTGACTCTGAGGCACAAATAAGTACCATACGAATTCTACTGACATGATTGAAAGTTTTTTAAATGCAACATCACCGCATGCTCACCCAAAGAAACTTTTACTTTTCGTCTTCTCTTTTCTGTTCTTACGTTCATTTTATTGAATTAAACTGTTTGGAATAAATTGTATTCGCTGCCATTCATTTGCCGATTATCGTATTTTGCGTGTCTTGTAGACATCCATTACTTATATGAACCCAGGAAATCATACCTTGAGTCATCTCATATTCCAGCATAAATATAAATTCAATTTATGTCAGAGACTTTGGCCGCGACAGTAGGTTTACGTCATATAGGAAGAGACAGTTGAAATTTCTAGTATTGTGGAAATAGGCCTTGGGAAATCTGATACTCCCAAGAGAGACAGAAGAAAACAACGTATAAGCTACTTAGTGTGTTTGAGTAAATGGTTGGCGGAACAAGGTTTAGAAAAGATAACAAAAATACAAAATTTATAAAAAGTTACAAAGGATAGTGGAGAGCCACGATCACCTAGAACTTGTAGAGGCACCGTACATAGAAAAAGAATGATATCAGAGTTCAAGTAAGGGACTAATGCTAAAGGAATAGCGAAAAAAATATCTATTTTTTTATAGTCAATGTATCATTATTGACCGGCAAGTACGAAAGTGGTTTGCAAAATGTTGCTCTGGAGAAACGTTGTTGGAACATAAACAGAAACTGAGGCATTCATCGGATTTTGATGATGAATCCCGAAAATCATTATTGGAAAGCATCCCACTAGAAAGGACTCGGAAATTAGCAAAGATTTTAAACATAAGACAAACATAGCATATGCTGGCTGGGTCTTAGAAAAGACAGGGAAAGTCAGCAAGGTGGATGTTTTGTTTTTTTTTGTGCCCTTAACAAAAAGAATGAAGCAGATCATGTATCCATAGCAACAATTCTACTTTCACAACATAAAAATAATGCGCTCCTTAAATATAGCATAACAGGCGATGAAAAGTGGGTTGAATACTACAATGTTCAGTGCAAAAAAAAAAAAGCAGCGGATTGAAAAAGATAAATCTTCACATCTGATCCCAAAAGCTGAGCTTCGTGGAAGAAAGGTAATGTTGTGCGTGCGATATGGTCAGAGTATTATCGATTTAAACTTTTTAAAACGCAAGGAAATACTAAATGCACATTTATACGTCCAACAGCTGCAACATGTCTATAAAAGTTTGATCGAGAAGCGTCCTGAACTCATCAACAGGAAAACTTATTCTTCATCATGACAATGCAAAGCCGCATACAGAAAGGACAACACGGGAAAACATGTTGGAACTCGGTTGGTCTGTTCTACCCTCACACGCCATATTAACCCGTCATGTTCACCAACAGATTATAATCTTTTTTCAATTACGTCAAAACAATTTGATGGGAATTTGAACGGGCTCGCTTCCATATACTTTCTCACGTACACTGGTGTCCCCCAAGGCTATATTCTGGGAACTAAGCTATTTCTGATCTTCATCAATGATCTCCCTGGTGTCATCAGTTCCCAACTGATGACACTAATATTTACCCATGTCTCAATAACAAATCCGACAGATCTGACAAAGTAAACCTGGCAGCTGCTCTTGTAAAAAACCTTCAGTCAGTGATTAACTGGGGCAAGAAATGGCTTGTAACTTTAAAAACCTCCAAGACATAACCGCCTTTTCTAACTGCCATACTTGAAGTGGAACGACTACATCGACATATAACGCAAGGAAAGTTGGATCACTGTGTTGTGCCTCACAATCTTTCTCATCAGAATCCATCTTACGCATTTATAAATCTACCATTCGTCTGTTTATTGAATACTGTTGCCATATCTGTTCTGGTTCGCCTGCTTTACATCTCGAGATGCTTGGCAAAATCCAAAGAAGGGTCTTTAATGTAATGGAACCTGGCCAGGCCTCTCGATATTTTCATGGCAACTAATCTGACAAACTATATTTCCTAGTGCCTAGACTACATGAATTTAAGCGTGCTACGAGATTGGCATCCAATACTGTTGAAATAACTAAATGCAGCCACCACTTCTACTCCAACAGTTTCTTTTTTCGCACTTCCCACCTGTGGAACTCCCTTCCATTTACTTGTTTCCCTGATAACTACAATCATCAAAAATTTAAATGCAACATCAATCGCCATCTTATGTCTTCTTGAATCCCATTCACCTTTTGTCCTTTCCTCAATCCTCCCTATTCTCAGTCTCCACTACTTGTAACCCCACGTGCACTAATGGCATTCCCGCCTTGCTTGGAGTGAAATGATTAAATATATGGATATTTGTATTCCTTCGGTGTCAGGATTATACAACCAGACACAAGGTAGCTAATCGTCTCAACATGTTCTTTACATAATCTACATTGCCAGGTAATTCCAGTTAAAGAGGCTTTGGTTCTTTGCAGCCATTATAAATGTCTACATCTCCACTTTTAACCCTGCACTATTCAGCCACTGATGGGTTTTATTTCCCCAGGTGGTTTTTAAATTGTTCAGCTCTTGTATCTTAGCATCATTTATTGACAGCGTATTTTTTTTATTTATTTCCGTGACAGTGATGATACCTTTCTTTAGTGAGATTGTTCTCCACAGCTTCTTATATTTTGTCTCTCTGTTCCTTTTCTGCTATCCATTCCAAAAAGCACGTTAGATAATTTACTCAGTTTCTTCCACCCCCGGCTCCTTTTATTTTCAATCTCCCGTAAGTGTTAAATTCGCCAAACCGTCTTTACTCAAATATTTCAACTGTATTTTTCTGATTGCAAATTTCCTTATAGTTCCTATTTTACCTAAAACTTCCGAAATTTACCCAGCTGAGCCTTGGGTATGTCTAATAAACTCGTCCAGTACGGTGAGTTTTAAAAACATTCACGATTGCCTGAAATTAAGATGAGGATTTTACAAGATAACAAAAACATAATCCAGGAGCAAAAAGCAGTTTCGATTGAAGTTGATATTTAAAACCTTTCCACTCTTTCAACTCAATGTTTGTTTTTATATTTTTAAGTCATTTATAATATGAGGAAAAGTCAAAAATTATCCGCACTCTTATATAAAGATATGTTATGGCGAAAGGGACGATAATTTTTTACTTACCTTCGTTATCCAGCTTAAAAATCACACAATTAAAAACATATATATATATATATATATATATATATATATATATATATTATTTTTAAATGAAATGAGAACGAATCGAATATAAATTCCGACTTACGTAACATTATATATATATATATATATATATATATATATATATATATATATATATATGGATGGACTCTCCCGTCGGTTTCGACGTATGAGGATCTGACAGCTTAGTTTAGTCAGTTATGAAATTTTGTGCGATAATCTTAAGTGGCATTTAAGACCCGCTAGTGATTTACAAAGGAGGCCACATATGGAGCAAGTGTGAGGATTGTGAGATGAGATCACTGTTAGATTGACTGACCTTTTAATTCTTGCTCTCGCTTCTTGAAGATGATTCAGACAAGCAGATTGAAAACTAAAACACGTTGATCTCCATTCTACACGCTCCAAGGCTAAGCGCTCAAGGGTATATGTGGTATATTGACAGCTGTAGCCCTGATCTAACTGGCTGTACATTAGGATCTTGGGTATCATGTCATCAGACATTCTCAAGGCATGACAAGTCCACCGTAACTGAGACTGTATGAGAAAAGACTCGA